ATTATTATAAAAATTATTATTATAAAAAGTAACTGTAAAAATAATGGAAAAGTAACTTTTCCATTCCATGTTGACAATATATGTTGAGATCATTAGGGAAGAATGTCTTCATCATCATTTTTAAATAAACAAAAAAAGCTTCATACAAATATGTCGATATTTAATGCTTATCACAAAAATTGATATGAAAAGAATCGTATTATTATCGGCGGAACCAGAAACTACATTATATTACGTACAATGGCGATCGTTTATTCTTCCGACATGCCTCACTCGGGAGATCAAAAGGAGAAGCGCGTGAAAAAGAGAGAGCACTGATGGAACTGGGAATAAAATGAAGTGTAATGGATCGCACTCGACAGCTGCAGATCGTTCCTTTTTCCAACGAATTTCTCGGCCCGCACGCAATTTCAACTCGTGACTAAGGAACCAAGTATAAAAGGAAGCTCTATTCTGGAAACGATGCGACACAATCACGAGTCCAAGGAAAAAAATGTTTTCTTAAAAATGATCGATTACTCAATATCCTGCGCAATATATCGCAAAACCTGTCACTTATATTTTGGAGTCACTTTTATTATTGAGGAAAAAATACGTAAGTCTATAAAAATACACTTTATAATAATGACTATTATATGTAAGAATACTACAAAATTTATTATATGCAATATCCTTCAATTATATATTCAATAAACACTTTTTATTTAATTTTAGAATTATAAATTTTAAATAAACAAAAAGCTTCAATTTTATACTCATAGATTTTTAATTTATTATTAAACTTTGTATTTTTTCTAGAATTTACACTTAAAAAATTTTGTGTATATACTAAAATTTCCTAAGTTGAAATTTAAACAATTTTAAAATTCAATACATTTTCAAAATTTCTTAAATTACAAAGCCTATATATGATGAGATAGATATAAATAGTATAATAATACATAGTAACTAACATATAATAATTGATTACAAGCATACAATTAAAATTAAATAATTTGTAAGTGTTTTTGAATACGTAGATACGTAGAAACTGAATTAAATAAATACGACTCTTTTTTCCTTAAATAATCTTATTATATCTATATTGCTTTACTAATCGCATATGCAATTTCATAAACAATCTCTGTCGCATAATATAAACGATATTTGTCTGTCAAAAGTACCCACAATTTCCACATAAAAACTGAATTAAATAAATGACTCCTTTTTACTTAAATAATCTTCTAACGCGATTAGTTCTATATTGCTTTATCAATTGCACATAATGTCTCACACAAAAGAGTGAAAGTAAACCTGAAATTGCAGGTTACATAAACTTTCGTCCAAGCTCAGTTTTCCCAGTCGGCAATAATTTTCTCGCATCCTATAGCCTGCCGGGCTCGTTTCTCGACACTGATTTACGTGTCCCACGGACTTTTACAGCGACCATGAAACTTGTCCTAGCGGGATCTCATCCTATCATCTTACGCGCACGTGATATGCTGCATGTTATCGATCTTTCTCCTTTTTCTCGCACCTTTTATTTAATTAACAATTTTTCACGCCAATTATTTATCGATCGAATAATTTTTTTTTCTTTACATGACTATCTTCCGTGGGGAGAATCTTCCACACGGATAAATCTGTCTCTCAGTAAACAAGCCAAGTATAAACGATTAAAAATAATTAATGCATTAGTTGAGCCTAAGAATAAATGCTGTTTTCCAACAAAAAGGTAATATCATATTGAAAATTCTAAGATTTTAATGATGTAAAAAATAATAATAATAAATATTACAAATATTATTTACTAAAAGGGTGGTTTAAAATTAATTTCTTAAACGGTTCTTTAGTAACCCAATTATTATAGAAGTATCTAATTCTTTTATACATATAATAAAGTACTGAACTTGACGTGTGTAAGATTTTAGGGTTGGTTAACGATGAAATAAGAAAGAAAAACAATTTTAAGTTACCCGGATAATACCTATAAAATTGGGTAATAGAGCGAAACCCGGATACTTGGATCTCGGATATTGAGCTCTAATACAAGTTGCTCTAATACAAGTTGCTCTAATACAAGTTGCTCTAATACAAGCTGCTCTAATACAAGCTCTAATAACAGCTCTAATATAAGTTGTATATTGGTGAACTTCTTCAAATTTTTGAGACTTGTAATTGAAATAAAAAATAAAAAATAAAAATAAATTAAAAATTAATCAAAGACAATTAAGATATACAGAATAATTCTAATATTTTATCCAAATTCTGCAGATATTTGTGATTTTGAGTAGA